CATTCCCTCAAAAAGACTTACAAATAAATATAGCTAACCCCGGGGTACTTGTTTTATAAGAATAAAGAGAATAACTGTACATCTCAAAAGAAAGCGTCAAAGGAACTGATACTTGGTTTAGAATTGAGTTCATTTTTTTATTACTATAAAGTTTGCTCTCTAAAAAGTCCCAGCATCAAGAAAAAGCCTTCCGGAGCCCAACATGGAGGGCCTCTTTCATTCAAATGCGTTCTCAGAATAAGGAATTCATTATTGTTTTCCGACTTATTTCCTGAGCTACATTCAAGAAAGATTAATTATTTCCATTAACTTGTGTTAGCGATTAGAGCATCCTGAGCCCAATTAAATTCCGTACATTTTACCAACTTCATTCTTACATCTACCTTATCCGATGAATCGATAATTATAAGCGGTATCACTCCTACAAGAGAACGACAATATTTAAAATATTTTCATATGGTAGGTAATCTGTTCCAAGCTCAATTTAATCAAGACCAGTGTAATTCGGAGCTTTTTTGCAGATTATTGGCACAGACGTTGACATACGTGTACCATTTTTTCATGTGAATATTTCCCGCCAACTTTTCCAACTCAGTTTAAAAGGTTGTTAAGGAAGTTTAGAAATAAGGTCCTTTTTATTTTGCCATTGTATTGATACTATTGGACGAAACTAGGCAATATATCGCGAAAATAAAGTTTTTAGCACAAATCAACTATCGCTGTGACATGAAATCAGGGTATCATGCAACATTTAGGAATTTCTGTCCATGCATAAACGTCGTAACTGCCAACAAAAGGTGCAAGCTTCTGGGACTACCTCAAAAACAAATTTATTATTTGGTAGACCCAGTTTTGTGAAGTACTACTAATTCTGAAATTCACGATTAGTTGCGTATCGATATTCATATACCTCTTAGCTATTTGGCTCCTCTTTCGTTTTGGCCATCTTTCAACAAGTTAGCTAATACATTAACTAGAACTGCAACATTGCTTTAAAAAAAGTATGTAATTGCAACGGATCAAACGGAGAATGTGTGATTCAGATTAAAAGTCTTATACGTGATTTTCACCTGTTCACCGGGATTAACAATTTGTTGTGCAAACCTTTTATCACCAGTAGAGATAACATCTTCATTGCTTGTGGAGTGGTGGTGTTCTGCTTCCATCCCTTTGCTTATATGTACTTTCTTCTTCAGCAATTATTTTTGTCCTTTTTTCTCGTTGTGTTCACCCTGATTCGCCGTTAATCTGGCGAAAAGGGTAAAGGTAGGGTCTTTTTCCGTATTTTTGGCCCGTTCTCGAGTCACGACTCGGTCTTTTGTTACTTCATTTTCTCTTTAAGTTGCATTGGCGAGCCATTGCTAGTGAACAACCGAATGGATTGTTCCAAATTTACTAATCTCAAATTAATGTTCTTCTTGAACTTCCTGGAGGGAAATCGGTGAGAGCGAGTCCTAGCTCCTGACTGACAATTGATGTTCACCAATCCTTGTTGATCGTTTTCTTCCAGCTTTTCGGATATGGGCTTTTTGGAAGTCTTTGCAGTTGATTTTGTTGATAACTTTGTTCTTGTCTTTCTCCCTGTTTTTTTTTTAAATTTTGGTTTTGAAAGTATTCAGAAGATTGATTTAAGGACGACTTGGATTCCGTATGATCTGAGCAGTCTTGTTATCACTCCCAAAACATCCTTGATATACGGTAGAGTCGTTATTGTTCATGTTTCTTCGTCCACTATTTGCTTTCCTCTTTGAGTCAGAGTTCGTTTGGTGAAGCAACGAGTACAGGTGTTGCGGTCGAATTTTCTGAAGAGATGCATTTCTAAAATTTCTTTTTGAGTGTCTGCGCTGCTCTTTGTTTGGATTCTTCCGAATGTGGTTTTGACAGAAATTCCCTTGAAGCTGCGTGAAACGTTCCGTTTGAAGTTTAGGCTTTAATCCGTATGCGTTACTTTGAAGTAGATCATTTTTCCAGACATCCTAATGGCGCTCTGAAAGTCAAGATGTTCCAAAATTCTAATCCTTAATCCTTAATTCTAATCCAAAATTATAATTCTAATTTATTCAGTTTCCTTCTGTATCGTGAATTTGGTGGAGGCAAATGTGTTATTAATGTTCTTTCTAGCTCTGACTCTTTCAATAGGACAAGTAAGCCATTACTAATTTGTCGACAGTTTTATATTTACTTTAGTTTTTTACAACAAAATAGTTTTTACTGTGTGAATTTCCCAAGTACATTATTCGGTAACTGATTTGTTTTGCAATACTTTAAATCTATGATGTGTTTTTTTCAGACAAGCCTTTTGAAATCTGGTGATGGAACTTTTTGGAGGAATCGAGGGGTAAGTTTGATTGAAGCAACTTTCAAAGGCAAGTCGCCATAGGTATGTATTTAATTATAACACTTCAACATGGTTGCGTGAAAAAGATTTGAATCATCTACTTCAATATCATTTTCTTAATTTCAGAGGTACCACTGGTTCTAGAATGATAATTGTCGATACTGATGGGCAACTCATTGGAAAGTCAGAGGGGCCGCACACGAATCATTGGGTACGTATTTCGAAGAGTTGAGCGTTTTGCCTGCGTTGCTTTCCGTTAACCGTGCTAATGATAACCGATGACGGCTAACTATTTCGTGTACCGAACATCATTCAGTGAATTTCGCAAATAGCGTTCCTAGAAGTGAAATTAATTGAAAAAAAATAATATTATAAGTTCGCTTTTCCACCAGGTTCATGGTGGCTTTAATCTGAAAGCCAAATTAAACTGATATCTTTGTGAATACATTTTGCCCTGTCTTGTTCCAATCACCTAGAAGACAACTATCATAAATGTTGTTTCTTTTACTTTTTTGGTTATGGTCTATGAAAAGTCTTAGGCCTAGGTCAAATGGTTGAGTTTCTGATTACCTGGATTGGGTCCTATTTTCCGAAAATAGTATTCGCTACGTGTTCAGTACGCATTAAGATTACTGCTTCCATTTTCTCAGCTATTCATGAGCAAACATTTATTTATCAAAATTAATCTTGAAACAATCTTTGCATACGACAACGAGGAGGGCATATTTTGTTGTTTGTAAGTAACGATAGTGATAATTCATAGGTGTCCTTTTTATACACACCTGAGTGTAATGAACAGCAGATGGAGTGAAACCAATAGTCACGAGGAACTGCTGTTCAGTGGTGAAAATCGACAACCTACGCCCCGGGACTTAGAGTGGCGAACCACATAAGCCCCTGATAGGTCAGGCGTGGTATTGAGCCGGACGACAGTAAAGCTGCCTACCACCAAAGTCGGGTGGCAGTGGTGGGGTTCTGTATAGAGTTTATGAGTTTGATCAGAAATTGGAGCTTCAAGATCGAGTTAACAAGCCAATAAGAATACTCCTGCTGTGACCACTGACAATGTACTACCCTAAGCACAAGAACACTCTGTCGTGTGGAACAATCAAGTTGGACAAGTGTACAAACAAAATCGATAAAAAAATAGTGTTGAATTATTGTATTGCGAAATGCATTCTTGCACGGAATACCAGAATTAAGCAAATGTTTTCATTGAAAATCAGTAAACTACAATAGGGAACAGGTCTTTATCGCTTGCATCTCTCCTTATTTTCCTCGTTGAGTCAATATAATAATGAAACAGATGGGTGTTTAATCCAGCCTAGTAGATTTGTGGCAAGTCAGCCCGTAATCTGCATGGAAGACCTGATTTGGTGTGAGGCTTTCGATTGGAGTTAACGGATAGTCAACTGTATCTCCCTTCCATGCTGTGGGGCCAAAACTGACTGACTATCAATAAAGACGACACCTGAACACGCATGAATTGAAAATTCGGTTCAGCCCTAATATGAGCTGGTTGGTACATTGGTAACACGCGCCTCCCATGCGATAAGTTCAAAGTTCAAAGCCCGGACGGTGGGTGTGCATAATATAATGAGCTCTAATAAGAAGGAAACTCGAGTCTTGTGCTTCCGAGTGTATGGTTGTCTGGAAGAGCTTACAATAGTGTGTGAAGGTAAAGTCCGATGGAGAGCTAACTCAAATCAGTAATGCGTAATGCTCGAAAAAGAGGTAGCAGACATATGAATTCCTTAATCTGATTGGATATGTTTGGAAAAATATATCCAAACTAGTACTGGCCACATGGCATTTTGGGTTTTAAAAGAGCTGAAGGAGAAATTTCTTGATTTGTGTACCTTTTTTTACTACACACCCACATGTGATGAACAGCAGACGAGGCGAACCCCATAGTCACGAGGACCTGCTGTTCAGTGGTGGAACCCGGCAACCTAAGCCCCGGGACTTGGAGTGGCGAACTACATAAGGCCCCTAATTAATTTTGCCCCATAATTACGCCTAATGTTTTGTGCAGTTCCATAGATGAAGTGAAGAGTTTATCAGAATATTTTGTTCAATAAAATTTAATCCTACTGAACTAGATTAGAGAAAAACCTAACAATGACCGAGTTGCGGCTTTGTAATTTCTTTCCGTTCTGAGACTTAGTAAAGCAGGATATTGAGGCAAATATGAGATCGCAGAAAATGCTGATTGCAAGTTTTGTGCAAACATACATAAACAACTTTCAAAACACCCGTACTGAAAGCACGCAGACCTGTTTGGTACCAAATTCATTCAAAATTGTTCAAACGTGTGGCAAATTAGAAACTGACAGCAATTAGAAAATTATATTATGGTCAAAATGTGAACAGATTTTCCCCGTGAATCGAAATTTATTGAAAAATAATCATCCCCTCCACCAAATTAAATAAAACCTAATTTCTGCTTCAAATTTTATTCAGGATTTTTAAAACGACAAAGTGGTCTTGTACACTGTATTTTGGTTTGTTTACCTAAATATTCCATATGTCTGTGATCCCGAGAAAAGTGAATTTCTCTGTTCGTTTATCAACGTTCTTCAATTTGTGTCATCTAATTTGCCAGTACCAAGTTACCATTACCTTGTCGTATCTCTCTTTACGAATATTGTAGCACCTTGGAATGGAAGAAGCTGCCAGGAGATTGATCAACCTCTGTGATCAAGCGCTGGCGGACGCAAAAGTACCTCCAGAAACAGAACTCAAGTCTCTGGTATGTAACCGGCATTCAACCTGCTCCATTTCCTTTCACTTTAGCTGCACACATATTTCACATATCTTGCCGCTCTATTTCCACAAATGTAAAGGGATTAAAGGAAATAATTAAGAAGAAGATTCGTCGGGATAGGTGAGGATGGAATTGAAACGTCACCTATGAATGAATGTAATTGACACCGAAAATTTTCTCAATCATCATTGCCTTAGGACGTCCCTAAAAAATACAACATAACGATTGGTATGTTTCGATGGAAGGAAACGAAGGGAACATGCCAGCCGATTATCTGCACGTAACAGTCGGGATTTTCAGTGCTAATTTTCGTTCAACTGAGTGCTATTATGAATTATTGGTACCATCTGATGTATTCTAAATGGAACATTATATTACAACAAAATACGAGGAATTAGTGAACTGTCAGGCACTGCTAACCGTGCCGGATGATCAATAAACAGACTGCACATTTGCACTGGTTTTGGAGTCTACTGAACTTTTCACAATGCCAACATAAGAACATATTGCAAATACGTTTATCCATTATATGACCTGTATTCGTTTTCTAGACTGTTTCATAACTCAGGTAAACGTACAAAGAGTTGATTATTTAAAAACCCTAGAGAATTTGCCGAATCAAATCATCCATTGTAATGTCGACAATAAAATCGTGTTTTGTATACAACTATTCAGTATATGAGAGGAATGGAGGATTTGATTTGTTTATATGATGAACTTGTTGTGTAGATGAGAGGTGGGCTGAAAAACTGGGAAGCACTGGAAAACTGTTTCAACCGGGTTGGGTCTCATCAGCGGCGCGAATACATCGACCCAACCAGGGATCGAACCCGGGACCACATAAGTAGAACGCGAGTATACTATCCACTCGGCCACCGGACAGCTGGACAGACCGTTTTTCATTTTGATTATATACGATGTAACATAACCATCTTGGCGAGCTTTCTGCGGACAACGAACCTCGCTCATCTCAGCACTAGCCTCCAAAGTTATGACAGTTGGAAATTTTCACAACCTCATTGTTTGTTATATGAGAGGAATGGAGGGTTTGATTTGATTGGATGATGAATACGTCGTGTAGTGTGGGTTCGATCTCCGGTTCGGTCAATGGATTCACACTTCAGATGGGACCCAACCAGGTCGAAAGAGCTTTTTCCAGTGCTTCCTAGCTTTCGAGATCACGCTTCGTTTACACGCGGAAAAATTTATCAATTCGTGCAGGCGCTTAAGCTCCCTGGCCCACCCCCTATACACCCCATATTCCGAGTGGTCCCAACGATCGGATGACCGAACAATTATGCGATCATTGAGAATNTTTGTTTACGTTTTTTGTGATTGAATACTGACTTATATATAAACAGCGTAATATTTATTGTGATGTATTTGGCATGACTATGAATCACTGAAAACGAGCTTGTTCGCCACTCCTTGTTCTATTTGAAAATGTGCTCTGTGGGACTGTTTAGAAAAATTTATCATCACGTATTCGGTGACCGGAAAATGATATTAACAAATTCCGATATCTGAAATTCATCTTCACTGAAACTGTTGCAATTAGATAACATTTACTGATACATAAGCGCCTCCTGGGTACAGGTTAGTTGACTCATTCTATAGTGAGCTTCAAAGTGCATATCTGATGTTTATTTCGGTGAGTGGTTGAATGGAGCACACAGGTAACAACACACCCCTCTATTTTTACGGATGAACTGTCTCAAGCCAGGTGCCAGTTCCATTAATTATTCTTTGGAAGCACTTTAAGAAAAAAATCCCATCCAGTTAAAGGGATACACAAGTAGGTCCTCCACCGGAAAAAAATGGTGTAATCAAGAATATACTAAACAGTTGAGTACTTATCTCTTGGACAAATCAAATCACCTTGTTTGATGAAGATATTTAGATACTTTTGACCGAACCCAACAAAATCTCTCTCTCTCTCACACACACAAACACACTGTGTTTGCTAGTCTTTTATTGTTTTTACTGTAACAAATACACACTACTATTTGCGCTGCACTGAATGTTGATTTTTTTCAGGGTCTGTCACTCAGTGGACTCAATACTGAAGAAAATGTGGAGCAAATCATTCTGGCCGTGAGAAAGTTGAGACCGAAAATCGCAGAGAAGTTGCACGCTTCCAACGATGCTGTTGGCACACTGGTCACTGCTACCGACCGTGGTAAGTCCCGTCCATTGGAACCACTTATTCACTTCTGGAACCTATATGTATATTATTTTTTATCTTTGCGTCATTTGGTCCAATGATTCACTCAGTACACCATTCTTTGTTCAAATTTTCCAATTTCAGTGGATTGACTACTTAAGTAAATACCAGCCAAAGCCCGTTTCTAATTCTCAATAGACTGTTGGTTCCGTGAGCTAAAATAAATAACTTTGTGCATTGAGACTGATCTCTACTGTCACCCGAAACCTGACAGGTTTGGCATAGTAATCTGAATGAACCGGAAGGAACAGGAACAGCGAACAATGGCTGAAATGGTTCCTATTGAAACTTTGACCAAGCAAATAGGAATGGTTTTTAGTTTAATTTGAACCAGCGAAGAATGCTAAAGAGTGTCTGTCGTGAATAGGGAGATGTCACATCCTTCCCACTAGAACGAATTTCGGTACGAAGTGTAAACGTGACCCACGATATCTCGTGTGCATTCTTTATTCTATATACCCAATTATGTATTAATTAAATTTCATTCATCTTATAATTATTACTTTGCAATTGCTCAAACTATCGGTGGAAGCAAAAAGCGTTGTGCACTAACGGATGGGCGGTGGTGTCCCGGTGGTAACGTTACCCAATTATCAACCCGAAGGATATGTGTTCGAATCCTACTACCACCGCCTGACTTTCCCCATCGATGTGTTGTATGGCAGCCGTTTGTTTGGACGCTTCCTCCTTCCTGAAAATTGTGTATTCAACAAAAGGAACTAAAGATAAAAAACGAAAAATGATTACAAACATGCCAGAATATAACAACAATGATCAGTAGGTGGGTATGCGAGTTCCTGCATGAAACTACTACATTTCATAACATGTTCGCTCATGGACAAAATTTTCTTATAATTTCGAATGAAAGAACTGATTGCGAAATTTCCCTCTACTGTTTCATTTGGCAGACGCGATTGTTCTGATCGCGGGAACCGGATCGATTTGCAAACTGATCAGACGAAGCCTCAGTTTTGTCCGCATTGGTGGATTAGGCTATCTGTTGGGTGACGAAGGTTCCGGTAAGTGTATGCGAGTTCTAAAAGGACGATGTTTGGTTGGTCGATTACAATAAAATTTCATTAATTCGCTTCACATTTCATTACACGTCAGTGGTGCATTTAACAAAGTTATTCGAAGTTGTCCGACCAATTCCGCTACAAACATTTCAAAACCAGTTGTTATTCAAATAATCCAGAGTTTGAATATTGCGCTGTTAGAAAGAAGGTAATTTGATTCAACGATTTCAGCACTAATGGCTTATTTGGTTGTGAGAAATCAGTACAATTGGAATCTTTTTCTGCCCCCTGCCCCCTGCCCCCGCCTCTAAAGCCTTTTGGGTGGCACATCAGGCAATCATGTGTTTCATGAAGACAACCGAGGGTTTCATGAGATCACCGTACCCGACACAGAAGCTCACTGAAGCTATCTATAAACACTTTAAAATCAAGCACCATCACGACTTGTTGCCCTATTTTGGAGAGAAATTTGACAAGACTTACATAGCAATGTTGTGTCGACATCTGGCCGATGGTAAGTGAACACAAATGTACTCATGCTTTAATACAGATATATTTATTGCTGCAATACACTTTTGGATATATTTTTCCGTGAATGTCCGTTAGGGTCACGAGATATCTAGAATTACATCAAGCGGTTTGGGATCTACTGTGCTTGATTGAAACCAACCAGGATATTAATAGATGAACAATTTTCCAGGTGTGCAACTATTCAGAAAACGGTATACCATCAGACAGAATGAGAGAGAGAGAGACAGAATGAACCCCAGAGGGCCCAAAGTGAACTATTTGTACGACCTGATTGGTTCTTTAGTCAGTTCTTGCCACTTTGAGCTGTTATTGGTGATCATATCAATGATCATATACAAAATGCAAATTTTGGTTTAATGTCGGTGCTTTGACCACCACAGACCCAAAAACAGGATCCGAAGCAGACACAGTTAAAAAGATACTAACGAGTATTGAGTTTATCAGCTGCCTTGGGGGTAACTGAAGTCACATGAATTAATCATCGGTGTAAACACAATTTTCCAATAGGAATGGTGAATCGCGTGTAGAATGTTTCGGCACGCCTTAAGAGGTATTTTCTCTCTCTCTCTCTCTCTCACACACTATCAGACAGCTGTCTGGCTTCATTTGACCTACAATCATTGTTTGTTGCCGGTGGTTGTGAGAGATGCGTAGTTTACGCAGAGATTATGTGAAATCGCTAGCCTGGTTGATTGTCGTCGACCTTAAGCATTTGACTTCAAACGGATGTTGACAAGCTTTCTATCCGTTTGTGGTTAGATTCGATAATGAATTCAAATATCGGTGTGTAGATAATCCCAATCCATGATACTCAGGCAAACAAGCACATAAAATAACGTCAACCATTATCGTGGTAGTAGTAATAACAGTAGTAACCCATCAACGCTAGCTTCGATCAAATCAAATTAGTGTTAAATTTACACAGTGGCAAACATCAAATTCTTCACAAATTTTCCGGCCATGTCTGAAGGCGATATGTGAACAAACACGGCAATTGGCAATTCTGGTCAGCCCCGTTGTGAACTGGTTGGCATAGTGGTTCATGCGATGAGTGGAGAGTTTAAATCCCAAACGGCACGGTGGTTGTGCACTACTAATCAACTATAATGGGAATAAAACCGGAATCTAGTGCTTCCAAGTGTATTGTCACCTCGACGAACTGAGGATTGTGCTTGAAGGTGAAGTCCGAGAGATATCCAGTTAAAGTCAACCGCAAGATGTGATTAATTGTTGTGCATCATTTAAAGTGACATTTCAGAAGAACATCTAACGATACCGTACTGTTAAGGCGTTTATAAAGCAGTCATTGATTCACGGAGGAGTACAATAAAGCCATGCTACTTGTTAACACAAAATAGGAATGTCGTCCATCAATTGAGATGGGACGAATGATGTTAGTACACTGAGAACACTGCACCGATAGGCCTTAATACGGTGCCATTTATGTCATGATAAGGAGCATACACACATGTTATTGCTGTGGTCGCTAATTCTGTATGAGAATTTGTCACGTATGAGACTGAATCGTGGATGAAACCCTTGGAACTATGGCCGAGACTACCAGCAATCGCAATTGTTCTTTCACTATTCATCTCTAAGTCATATGGGTAATGATACCGATTGAATTCCAAATCGCCATGTTATTGTATTTTGTTGTTATCCCTCCATGATTTTTCAGACAAGAACAGGTGCAATGAAAACAGTAGTACACGAGTTTCAATCGCATCCGTTTTCGAGACAAATCGGGGGAACGATTCGTAGTGCATAAAGGAAACATGTATAATTTTAGGAGGACTAAACATACTGATGAAGCCCCTGTGTACAGGCTATTGATGTTGAATTTCCCTAACGTAGAGTACCGTTCTTACATTTTTAGCAACGCAATTGATCAAAACCAAAAAGTGTATTCATTTTTTTATTTATATATACATATGCGCTTGTTACAGAAAGTGATTTGAACTCGGGGTTTGGTGCAATTTTGCAAGGATTCTGCATTCGACTCAAAACATAGCTCTAAATATATTTCAAATAAAACAACAGAGGGGCGAACAAAATCGTTTTCAGTGATTCTTATTCATACCACTACATCTCGATATACATATATATATATATCACTATTTGGGAATAAAACTATCTTGGGAAATGAAATAGAATCGCATTATAGAGTACAAGAAAACGGTTGTATCATGAAACTGAAAATCGGATTCATAATGATCACATAGTTGTTTGTTCATTCATGCGATCACCGAGATCACTGGAGATGCGGGATATATGCGTGGAGTGGGTCAGAGAAGCTTTAGCGCCTGCAAAAATTGTGTTTTGGGCACACAGAAGGGAGTTGTGCAAACGAGTGTCCACCGCTTCTGCTGTGGCCAGCGTTCGACAGCGAACCTGCCTCCTTGATCGACCACAAACTTTATACAGTGGGCAAAAAGCCTAGGTCATGTCCACAGTGTGGTATGTTTCAGCTAGGTATAAAATCACTGCACTCGTGAGTGGCTTAATCGTCCTGGTATTCATACACGCAGGATGATGTTCACGAATCCGTTTAATCACCTCACCGTGTGGCGTTGTTAGACAGGAACAAGTAAATGAGTATACGGAGATTGATACCGTAGAGTCGGGAAACTTGTCCTTCAGTAGCAAACACATAATTGGCTTAAACGTCAACAACACGCCAACCTTACTTATGCATAGAAAATCTTATCTATCGCGTCGGATAATCTCAGCTGATGTGTTCCCCCTGAACTGCAAATATATATGCTACTGTTAAATAATTCCCAATATATTCCGGCTGCGCGTTGGTTGCTAATATCAAATCAAGATTTCTAGCTTTTCTAAAGATATGTTAGTTCATGTTTATTGTAACTGATGAACTGAAGTATTTTATAACACGTTTTAGATCGGTTTTACTTTAATCGCGGGATGTAACCGCGGGACAAGTTATTTTGTTAAAAATTCAGTTGAATGGAACCAATTACGGTACATGTTTGTGAGAAAGAAATCATGTTAAAAAATGAATTGCTCTTGAATTAAGTGAAATGCAAGCAATTTGGTGTAGAGCATCAGACAACATTGGATTTGTTTCAGCCGCACACGAGGGAGACCTGTTCTGCAAGGAGTTATTCCACGATGCTGGATTCCAGCTCGGACGTCACGTGTCTGCTGCTGTTCGTTATGCAGATAAGGTGAGTTTCATACTTTATTTTACATTAAACCATTTCTTTCTGCCAACATGGTGTACTACTTACAAGTATTTATTTTTCACTTCTCCTTGAGTTACACTCGTTGATGTAGAAGATGGTAAGGATTACGCGCAGGTTTAAGGAGACAGATTTCACGCAATTTTTTATAATTTTATGGATCATTAATCTTGTTATTATTGCTTTTCACATCCGAGTGTTTCAGATGCGTTTGCTTACTGTGGTCATAAACCATTAGCAGCACTGCTGAATGGTTCAATTTCGTTTCCAGTCTCTCCAAGTAGGGCCCACTTCACAGGTACCTTCCACATTCCTAATTACTTTCTACTCACTGCGAGCTTGGCAGCGATCAGGGAAGTTCGTTTCACTGTATTTTATTGTACGGTGATGGTATTACTGATGCTGCTGCTCTAGGTATGAATGATTGTGTTCGTTGGATTTTCGTCTGAATACCGAATATACCATGGGTTTAAACGCAATTTGAAAACAATGTGCTTCCACCAAATTTCAAGTTATTTTTTTCCAATAACACTCACGTAAGCACTTTAGGTGTGTTTTGATCGAGGTTTTGCTTATCGAAATATAAATAATCTCAGAATGCTTCTTTCCCAATTGAATTCACTGGTCCGTCACCCAGATACACAGGGTATACCGTCTCGACAAGAGCAAACGTATTTATTGATTATCATGTACAAATATCGACGGAGTGCGCAAAATATTACCAAATGTTTTGGTAACTTGTTCGTGGCTGAAGTTCATTTCTTTTCGGAAAACGTAACTAACCAATTAACTGAAATTTTCACAGAACGAGCTACACAAAGCTAAAAATTTATTATGGGAATTACTTTCAAGCGCATACTTCTCTTGTCCCCATGGGATATTTACACACTTGAATCGTTCATCGGCAAAACTGATAGAATGTCACATAGAGTTCAGGATAGGAGATAACAGAAGCAGCCTTCAACTAGTTTGCATTTGTTAGTTGTGTAGGGTAAAGGTTTCATCAACTCTCCGCTTGAAAGCTTCAACAATTGATGCACAAAAGACTTGAGATGGGTGTTCCAATTAATGCATACTCTGACTGTACAATATTGACACCGAGATTCCAGTCGACACTGGAATCGATAACTTGAAACGATATCCCTAAGGTTTATGTTGAGCGACAACGTGAGAAGCGAGTAATATGGATGGTTCGGGTTCTGCAGTATTTGATACATCAAAATCAAGTCCCCTTAAACTAGGCGGTACTGAGTAGAATATAGTCCCAATGATCGTAATCTCCTCTCATAGATGAGTCAGTTGAATCCCTTGATTATCTTGATGACAGTTCTTTGTGAACGCTCCATGATCTTAGGATCACGTTGCAACCATGGGTTCCAATCTTGGATGGCGTACTGTGTGCGTTCGAATGCACACTGATTCAACTCGACCGGAATTGTCTAAGCAAGCAGACATTATTCACAGCATCGGACGAACCCCTGGCACAACTGATGGAACAGCTTGAATCTTCTTGAACAATTGTACCGTAATCATTCTCACCTAAAGTGTCGTGCAGCTGGTGATTTGCGAGAAAAAACGAGAACCTACTCCTGTGGAGCAGATATATGAGTTTACATTCGGAAACATTGAATTCAATGTTGTTCTCCGTACACCATTGGTAAACTGCGTTAAGTGTTTCTTGAAGTGTTAGTGAGTGATAGGGTTGTCACTTTATTCCAGATTTTGAAATTCTCTGCAAACAGTATTTTTGTCCCTAGCATATTCGATGGATCATTTATGAATGCGAGGAAAGTCTGGGATCAAGTAAAACCCTTGTAGAACACCGTGGGTTACGTTGAGAGAACCGGGTTGGGAATCAGAAACACACACTGATATGGTCCGTTGCCGGAGGAATGCTCCAATCCAATCAAGCATGATATAGCTTTGTTCCGTCTTTGTCGCCCGTAGCACTATCCAATCAGTGATTTCCAAAATCTGACTTCTTGAATAGAAGTTGTTGGTTGGTATGCGTCTCTCTCACCGAAGAACATGATATAAGTGAATCATTTGGAGAAATAAATTCCGATGATGAGAATGAGCTTCACCCATTTCGTGTTTTCAGGAAGGTCTCATGAAACCAGACGGAATGGACGTTATCTGTTGTGGCTCGGTGTTCAAGAGCTGGGATCTTGTTGAATCAGGTAAGAAAATACCTGTAAGATATTACACATTGAAATCTCTTAAAATTTTCCAACGTTTCTATTTTTCTCAATCCAGTGATCTCCATAGTGCAGCATCAGGTTATCAGAGAAATTATGAATAGTGGAATTCAAACTTATCTCTCAGATCGACTTTACTGATTTGATCTTCTTTGTGTGCGATCAGGAAAGAAAGTTACATCGTTTGGAAATCCTATTCTTTGCCTTTATGGAACGATATCTCTGAACTATTTGACAATATAATTCTCCTGTGACTTCGGCTACGTAAGAAACTTGCCTGAGTCAGCTGATTGTTATCAGGTGGTGTGGTAGTTATTTTACAGTACAACAAATTATGGACGTTGTATACACACGACCGATGATACTTATAATGGGGTGACCGATGATGAAATGGAACGTTCATAGCTATGACTATAACACTTGAAGTCTACACAGAGCATTTTCCATTACTTGTTACCATTAAAAACCCATGCAGTATATGGGACCAAGTTTCACATAATTTTTATCACCATCTACTGATTCGATTAAACGGGTGATTTGTAGGTGGGCAAATTCTTGGTGTAACGTGTTTATCGCACCATTATTGACACGTTCATCCCATATGAGTGCAAAACCCAAAATATTTTGATGATAGACAACAGCCCTTCTGTCGCCTAGCACAACAGCATATCTGTCCTGTTGTGCCAGAGGATTTGACGTCACAATATCATGGTTCGATATTTTACCAGTTCTTCCAACTTAGTACGTCCATGTGAAGAATAAGGAGTTTCCTCGTCTCAATGTGTATTCTGCTCAGCACGTGATAAAAACAGCTTTCTGATCATCGGTTCACCAATTTCCTCATGCTTTTACTTGTAAAGCTGACAGGAACAAATTGCGCTGCCGCTGCTTTGCTGACCACATAGAGACGATATGTTATTTGAAACTGTAGAAGATCAGCTTTTCTCTACCCTTAGAACTTCGATGCATGCATAAAGACTGTTCTTTTCCCCGTTCTCACAATGTAGGTTTTCGGGCTGGTTTGCGGCCACGATACAGCACAGACTGCGGTCACGGTAGATTATTTCTTCGCCTTCTTCAACACACGGCCGCTTATGGAGCAGCCATTTTGGCAGCCAAAGTGGAATTGGGCTATAATCTGCCTCGTCCCAAGAACGTTACTCGCCTGATATGTGAAATCAGCCTGACCGAGGCAGATCCCATTCGTGACCCATGAGTAGCAAAGTCATGAATGTTGAAAAACATTAATAATGTTGTAAATAATCTGGATATTCGATCGTTTCTGATCTTTTATACTTTCTAAAGCTCCGGTTTGAGCGGTTAAAAGCATTTCGAAAAAAACGAACTATCGCAACGAGTGACTTAAAGCGCTTCGCATTCTAACTGATCATTTGCGGACTGGTCCACCATTAGACTATTCACTGTTTGACACCGAATGAATGGTATTCATATTTTTGCTGTCGATATCATTATCCATTGATCTGTCCAAGACTTCATCCTCAAAACTTGTTTGTCTTTTCTGAAAACGCATTGAATCATTCAAACAGGTGTTCGACTGCAAGATTTATTAGCCGATAAATTTCAGTTTTTATTCCCAATCTCCGTTTTCTAATGGAAGCTAATTTATGCTATAGTAAAACGATGAGTTTAAATTTGTAGTTTTTAGTTTTGGTAACAGCCGATAACTTTGTTGAATAGACCTTGATGCATCTTGGCCTTGATTAACGTAACATTTCGTGCTCACTGAGTAGGGCGGCTGGGGCTTATCACTCTAGCATGAACTATTTTAAATACGTTCGTTTGTAAAGAGCAGTCAATTGGATCAGAAAGCAGTCGATAACCTTCGAGTGAAACATAAAACTGAGACAGAAGCATTGAATGAAAATATCGGTGCAGACCAGTATTTCTGAAGATAGTAGCTCGAATACATCTATCTGGATTTGCAATCAGTAGGCTTGAGGTAACCAAAATCCTCTAGCAAGCATCAAGGTGCTAATTTGGAACACAAGCTCCCCACTCTTCTTCGTTCAGTCGGATCAATAGTGGTCAGAACTACCGATGAAAATTGTAAATATTTACTTCGGACCGTGAAATGTCGTCCAAGCCGATTCGACTTTTACCCCACCCCACCCCCAATTTTCAATTGAATGACATGTTGTGATTTTCGGATGGGTCGAAATCTGCGGACAATGACCTCACTTTTAAGCTGCGGACAAACACAGTGAAACAACATGTACCCAGCATAAAAGAAGATATTAAGTGAGCAAGGCTAACATGAATTTTATTCAACATTTGAGGAACGTTACTTAATTAATAATACGTTTGTGATTTATCAGAGCGTGAAGTAACATGATTTAGAGTCCGTTATTAAGGGCTTAATTCTCCAAAGTAGGCGGCAAATTTTAGTGCAACGTTCAAATTTGTACTAGAACATGGTTTCGTTCGATGTGCAAGCACACATATACACACCATTGCATGCACCGTACTCCAAAACTGTGAAGCCAAATTGTTTTGGCACTATATCGTCTCTCATATTTCGAAAACGGATCTCGTCAAAACCCATCACCACTGGTACTGGTACTGTCCTTGTGCGTCCGTTTGACCCGGATTCAATTCACTCAAACCTGTTTCCGAGTGTACCACCATTCGACAGGGACGCGATACTGTCGAGGTCAGCCGTGTTTAATAACCCCAAGATTCGACCGATAAACAGCGTCATCCGGTTGCTACATGAACGCGCACACACACAATCCGACATGAGCGAGAACGCGAACAGGGGATAGAGATATAGGCAAATGAAACGCGAGAACTGGGTGTGGTCAGTAGTAAGTGTGATGTTTATGACAGGATGCATGTATACATGAGCCACATATAATGCACCTTAGTGTCAGCCGAGGAGATCAAAAGTCTCCGTCCGCGTTTTCCTCATCTAGATCTACAAAAATGGCAATGACGAATGCAAAAAGTGTTAGGTTATGAATCTCACAAATGTGGACAGCTAATCGAAAACCCATTCACTAAATAGTGACTATTATCCTTCAAATGGGGGGGGGGAGCGGTGATACATATTTTATTATGCAACGAACTACTCGTTTGTCCAGCAATCCTCGGGCGTTGCTCCAAAGAAATCCTGTGATCACCTGTCAATTTTAAATCTATAGTCGCGGCTCGAGACTCTCAACACCCAGAACACTCTCGTCAAAGGTCGTGTCCTTATGATTTCCTGTTGATCGACTACAAAATAGTGCTAATGGCTTCTTAGAAAGTGGAATGCGATCATGTGCGAGAAAGAGAACATCAATAATGGGTGGCGGGTTGAAACAAACACTCGATCTTAGGGGAGTTTACTTGTTGACCTGAATTGCTTGAATACCACTGCGAATCAGTTCCTATTTGGTTATTCCTTTACAATAAAGTTCCAAGTTCATTTTTAATCAACGCATCATCATCATAAATAGCGTACAGGGAAATACAGAGA